TTAATATCTTCTTCAGCTAAAATGGTTGAAAATATTCTGAAAAAACATTTGATAGCTTACTTAGATAAGTACAAAATAATCTCTAACGAACAATTTGGATTTAGACAACTGAAGTCAACAGATAATGGAATTCTTGATCTTATGACTAAGGTTTCCAGTGATATAAACTCTAAGGACCCAACTCTATGTGTCTTTGTCGACCTAAATAAGACATTAGATACAGTTAGTCACAACCAACTCCTCGGGGCTTTAGAAAGAGTAGGCTTTCTTGACACTGCATTCTCATTAATGAGATCTTACCTATCAAATTCACATTATGCAGATTAATGATACTATGATTGATGGTAGAACAGCAAAGTTTGGAATACCACAAAGGACTGTATTGGCACCGATATTATTGAACATTTACGTTAACGAAGTACCTATATTTACTGAAACGTCGAGGAAAAATCATAAGTTTTGCTGACGACACGGTCATCATTCAAACCTAGGAAAACCTAAAAACTCTAACAGAAACAGAATTTTGCAAGATTATCAAATAGCTCAACTCTATGCTTCTAACCGTAAATTACAACAAAACTTGTTACATCAGATTTTCATCCTATGAACGATATATGCCCAAATATTCAAATTTAAGCATAAAGCTGGAAAACAACCAAAATAAACACTTACAAAGGGAGTGGGAGTGTACCCAGATTCTACCCTTAAATGGGACACACACATACATTTCCTAATTAAAAAATTGCATACAATACTTTACAAATTTAAATATCTTATGAAATACCATGACTTATCTCAAATAAAAGTACTCTATTGTTCAATATTTGAGAGCCATTTGAGATATGGTGTGATTGCGTGGGGAGCAGCATGTAAGTCATACATGAAAATAATAATAATAATAATAATAATAATAATAATTATAATAATAATAATAATAATAATAATAAATGCCATAAACGACGAAGTAGCCCCTACACGTTTGTCAGTTCTGGATCAGCCGCATATCGAACCTGAATGCGAAACCAACCGAAAGCAAAAAGAGCTGAATGATCTTTTTCTAAGCACCTTAAGCTTCTACCGATTTAGTGACCCCACAAAAAGGCCTAGGCTCCCAAAGCTTCTAGTAAATGCAAAATTCAATCAAATAATACGTCAGATGGATGAAATTCTTTTACGCCACCTAGAACACTGTGATGACTTAGAAGAAGTACATATCTATCTACGCGGCAGCTGCTACTGTGGTGAACGTGAATGGTCAAAAGTTACTACCACCTAATGATGCGCCTCTTAAAAAGACATCGACACGTAGTGACGAGCCATTGAAACTAAGACTCATGAAAGATATTGACTCATGTAGAGGATCTCATTTCAGAATACCTAGTGGGCAATAGGTCCCGAAAAGTGATCAAGAAAATTGCAGATATTGAACGGAAAATTAACGTACCCCCCAGCTGCGATAACGCTAGCTCATTTTTAAACCTGCATGGAGATAAAATGAGGCAAGAAGCCAAAGTGAAGGGTGCCCGGCTCCGAAAATATAATGAGACCAGCAAGAGAAAGCAGCAAAATGCTTTGTTCGAGAGAAACCAAAACCAGTTCTACAGATCTATCATCTCAGCATCAAAGGCATTAGAGATACGCAAAATTTTGTTAAATTTTGGAGTGATATTTGGTTCGAGCCAAAGCCATCAGACCTTAATGCGCCTTAGATCAAAGAACTACTGAAGGCAGTTAAGGTAAACCCAATGAGCGTTGCAATATTATCTCAAGATGACGTAAGTAGAGTGCTAAAAAATGCTGCTGATTGGAAGGCACCGGTATCCGACAATATTCAGAACTTTTGGCTCAAGAAGTTCCTAAGCACACATGCTGCATTGGCTTGATCACTTTCTAAAGCAATCACCAACCCGGAGATATTACCTAACTTCTTGACGACGGGAATAACACATCTTATATTTAAAAAGGGCAATTCCGAGGATCCGAAAAACTATAGACCAATTACATGTCACTCTGTGTTTTATAAACTACTAACAGCACTTTTGAATAGAAGGGGTGTGTCCGTGATTCTTTCGGAAGCAAAGAGCAACTTATAATTGATTCCGTTATTACGACTACTCTAAGGCATTTGATTTCGTGACACATAATTGGCTTTTAAAGGTACTGGATATATATAAAGTAGATATCCGCAACATAAACCTATTGTCCCATCTGATGATGAACTGGGGAACCTCTTTAAGAGTTAATTCGGAGGACATAGGAGACGTGCGCATACGCAGAGGCATATTCCAGGGTGATTCTATCAGCCCGATGTGGTTCTGTCTAGCCCTGAACCCACTGTCATCACTGCTGAATAATTCCGAGTTCGGGTATAGGCTCGATGTGAGTGAGCATACAAGATCCAACCATCTGTTATATATGGATGACCTGAAACTATACGCCGAGTCGAGACAACATCTTGCTTCTCTAGTGCGAACGACAAGTATATTCAGCAATGATATGGGAATGAAATTTGGGTTAGATAAGTGCGCCACTGTCACTATAAGGAAAGGTAACCTAACTCTTTTGGACAAATTTAGAAAACACCGCGCCTCTAGCAGAAGACCAACCGTATAAGTACCTGGGGATGCACCAAAGTAGGGGTGTGTGTCATTCTGCAATGAAGTCAATCTATAGAGAAAAGTACATCCATTGGCTTACAAAACTACTCAACACCAAATTAAACTCGCAGAATCTTTTCAAAGCAATCAACAGTTGGGCAATAAGTTCACTTACATATTCGTCCGGTATTGTGAAATGGAGTAATACAGACCTTGAAGAGCTAGACAGAATCACTCGTGTAAAGCTCACAAAGTTCCATTGTCACCAGCCAAAGGCATCAACCGAACGCTGTACCTCCCTCGCGCACAAGGGGGCCGCGGATTGCTCAACATAACACAACTCTGCAAGTCTCAGGTAGCCAAATTACAAAATTACTTTAATAACCATCTAAGTCGTAAGATAGCTGCTATAGTGGAGGCAGATGACTCATTTACCCCTTTGAGCTTTCGGCAACCTCAAGCCAATACGGCCTCGGAATCGAATACTAGGAGGAGAGAATGCTGTGAGGAGAAAAGTCTCCATGGCCGTTATCCATGCCAACTGAGAGGTGACAACATTAGATAAAGCTTCGTCATTTACCTATTTAAGAAAGGGATATCTCCATCCAACAACGGAAGGGTTCATAACTGCCATCCAAGACAAAGTAATAAAAACAAAAAAACTATGAAAAACATATTCTCAAATCCAACGTCCCAGATGAATGTAGGAAGTGCAACCAGGCGGGCGAAACCATCGAACGTATTACTGGAGCTTGCACTGCGTTGGCAGCTGGCGATTATTTGGGAAGACACAACCAGGTTGCAAAAATAATAAATTCACAGGTAGCTCGTAAGCTTGAACTTGGTACAATCGCCTCCGCCATATTACATGCCTGAGCCAGTTCTGGAATCAAAAGATGTAATACTCTATTTGGATGGGCCATTTCTAACCGACAAAACTGTAGACTTTAACCGCCCCGATATTATCCTGATAGACAAAAGCAACCAATTGAGGTTGGAATTCCGCTTACACACAACATCCACAAGGTAGAGCGTGAAAAATCTGTTAAATACCAGAACCTGGCGATTGAAATGAAACGGATTTGGAAGCTAAGGGAAGTGCAGATTGTTTCCACCGTTATCTCTGTGGAAGGGGCTGTTACCAAAGAAGTCTCCTCAAGCTTAAAGACCTTGGACCTTCCAAACGGCCGTCACATACTATTCCAAAAAGCCGTTATCTCACAAACGTCTCATATTGTGAGAAGGGCACTGTCTCTGTAAAAACTATCCTTGGTTGGGGTGAACTCCCCTTCAAAGATAGTACATCACCATACGTGAGGACTATGAGCATGAAAAAGAAAATAATAATAATAATAAACGTCTTTGTTCGCCAAACATCAACCAATAAACATGCATTTGTACATAAAAAAGAGTTTGGCAAAGGGCGAAGTTCAGATGTCCACCGAAATTTTAAGACTATACAAAAGTATATTCTAAAGGATATATATAAAAGCCAAGAACATACCAAACCGAACAATTTTATACCGAAATGACAGTGCATGATATTCGACATTTATACTTCATCTAGACCAGGGTTTCCCAAACTTTTTTTTGTTGAGACTTCCCGGACTATAAGTTGTATTTTCATGCCCCCATTTACTTTTTCAATAAATACAAAAAAAATGCAAATAATATACGGACTAAGACTTTTATTTTAATTCTAATAAAGAAACTTTAAAAGTTTAAATAAACTAATAAATGTTTTTTATCGAAAAACTTGAGTAAAATAAGAGTAGGTACTGATGAGACACTCGAGATTGCATGTTCTGTACCAGTTGGTTGATTCTAGGTTCTGTTTTTACCAGAGCTATCATCAGGTCGCTATCGACATCAAGATGATTTCGCTGTCTAGTTTTAATTAAAACTAGAGCAGAAAAGCCTGTCTCACATAAGTAAGTTGAAAAAAAAGGAACTAGTATTCGTAAAGCAAGAGAGGCAAGTGTCGAATTAACAGGCAACCTTTTGATCCAAAATTTCTCCAATGTTAAAAGATGGAAGTCATCTTTCATGGACGAATCAGCCTTTATTTTTAGAAATTCTACATGAACTCCTTCTGCTAATTGTGACACATCGACAACAAATGGATTTCTTGTCATGCGTCATATTGGTGACTCCGAGACAAAGATATAACATTATCGGAAGACACCTTTTGATTCCAAAGTTGAAGCTTTGATATGAACCCCTGATTATAATCATAATTTCTTATTATAGTGTTGTTTCTGCCCTGAAGTTTCGAGTTTAGCTCATTCAAGTAGTCAAATATGTCAGTTAAATAAGCCAACCTCCATTGAAATGCGTCATCTTTGAACATTGTCAAGAAATCGTGTTTTTCTTTGGACTCAAGAAAAAGAATTACCTCTTCTCTCAGCTCATGAAGGCGAACAACTTTGTGTTCAGAATCGAGATCCTCGCAAAGTAAAGTAAATCACTGTTCAAAGCGCTGCCCTTCATGTAGTTTACTATCCTTATAGCCGAGTCCAAAGCCTGGCGTAATTTCTGTGGCAATGTTTTGGAAGCCAAACCTTGCCGATGGATAACACAATGTGTACTAACCATTGCGGGCTTTTTTTCATTGAGCTTTTTAGCTAAGCCCGATCGTACACCTACCATTACAGGTGGGCTATCTGTGCAAAGTTCAATGAATTTCTTCCAATCGAAATATTTTTTTCAACAAAATTTAATATTGAATTAAATATATCTTCAGATGTAGTACCTGCTGTCAAAGATTGGGAGCACAACAGCTCTTCTTGAATGATACCTCCGCCGATGGAACGAACATAAACTATTAACTGCGCACAATTGACGATGTCGGTGGATTCATCGCAACTAATGGCAAAAAAAGGTGATAATTTTACTTTGTTAATTATTTGTGACATTATGTTAGCTGCAATGTCACTTGCCATGTCATCGATGATTCTTCACCGATAGTATGAGGTTGCTTTTGCTGTGTGTGTGTGTGTGCGTGTGTGTGTGTGAGTGTGTGTGTGTGTGTGTGTGTGAGACACAATAATTTGACTCAACAGATTTCTCAACAAAACACGTACATCTAATCGTCAATTTTTTCGCAAGTTTGTGGGAATGAATGTCACAGATGCTCGTCCGCGTCTAGTAGGCACACAATTGTTTTATAAGTGATGAATGTTAAGCGGAGCGCGGCGGGGGTGCGCGCGGATGTCATGTTGTGAATTGTCGAAACTTGTATAAACTGCGATTGACGACTCCGGGTTGACAGAATAAGTGAATATGATATTTAAATACTAATTTTATGCGTGTAAATTAAACATTACATTGTAATGTAATTTGTTACTGTTGTTTGTTTATTTCTTTTTGTTTTTTCTTCCTAAAATGCAAACGTTTTCCGCCCCCTTGAAATCTCCCTCTGCCCCTCTTGAGAGGCGCGCCCCCAGGTCGGGACCTCCTAATCTATACCATCATGAAGTAGCACTAACTAAAACATAAGTTAAGCCAAACTGAGCACGTCTATGATACCCGCCATAAAGTAAGATCATGTTTTCCAAAGCCTAATATCAATGCCATGCAGAGATCATTCCAATACCTAGAAGCTTTATAATAGTTTGCCTGTTATCTCAAACAGTAAAATTCTATGAAGTTTGAAAGAGAACTACATCACAAATATATACAGGGTGACTTCGAAGTTGAGTCATTTATTTTAACAGTGAGTAGATCTGATCAAAAGAAATGTTTTTTTCCTTTAACATTTTTCTGGTAAAATTAAAGTAACAAAGTTATATCCCTTTAGAAGTTTGAGTACCGCCCTGTCTCAATAATAATATTATGTGCTCGTGTTTGGCAACAACGGATATAATCCGCCTTATCGGTTCATCCCATCGGAAACAAAAAAGCGAATGAATTTGAAACGATGTTTTTACTACAATTATTATTCAGTTGTATTCAGTCAATGTGTGAGTCGGTAACGCGTGAGTGAACAGTGGTGTTTGTTGCGTGGCTCAAACGAAATAAAAAATGGCACATGTTTACGAAAATGCTGAACTTGTGGACATGATTCTTATTCTTAATCAAGTGCAACCAACCCCTCGTGCCTTTATTAATGTAGTACAAATGACTCGTGAATCAGGTGACTTAAGACCTCACAAGGGAGGGCATGCCGGTGCTCCAAGACCGCATGATCAAATACAGGTCCGCACTGAAATACTTGTGGAGAGGATACTTTATAAAACAAGCTAACATTTTTTTTTATTTTTTTTTATTTTTACACATATTTTGGTTTATTTTCCTTCTACAATCATTATCTGAAAATTAATGACTCAACTTCAAAGTTACCCTGTATATATATACATAAAAATATTTAAAAGCTTTTCTTCAAACTCTCAAGGAATTCTTTCAAAAGCTCTTAATATATCCAAGCATGCAGCTAAAGCTAATGAACTTTCCACCTTCCCAGTATGCCATTCGTCGCACACCGATTATGACTGTTGTACCTATGATGACAATTATGCTGATATAGACTAAATATTGGATAGACATCTCACCATGCACAGGCTTTGCCTTCTGTGGGTATTTTATATTTATTTGCTTGTTATTTTTATTTCACCTGGAACATTTGTAGTTGTAATTGAAAGCAAATTAATATTATTATCATTATATATTATTATTTAGGCTTCTGATTGCAGCGGCTGCTTCGGTGTAAAATAAAATTATCCTGTGAATCGTTCATGTTTATTCATACCTACATATGTCTCTAAGATCAATGGCCTAAAATAGTCGTGAAGACAGTCAATCTTCTATTTTTGTTACGAAGTAGGATTCATAGTTCGACTCTTAGATAGGAAAGATGCTTTATGCTCGATAGCAATGTCACAAACCTTTTTTATCAAAAACTAAAAACCAAATTCACCAAACGAGCTTCAAGTAGTCATTGAAATATATGAAGTGTCTTTAGCAAGATTTTTACACCGCCATCTATTAGGCAATGCTAAAGCAAAAAGGCGATTTGGAATAAATGTTCTCACGTTGAATCCATAATTTGACTATCTAAAAAGCTGTAGAACAACATTAAGCGGAGCAGATGGAACATAAAAGACGTTAGAAATCACCACGACAGCATGTCTCAATAAAGCCCACGGAATATGGAAGAGCTTTGCATCGCTTATTCTAAGGTATTAAAAACAATGTGGACTATAATCGTTTATAGGCGAATTAAACCTGATGATAGCCAACCTAACGCTATATTCCCGCGTTCAAAAAAATAATACGGGACAAAATGAAGCAACGGAGCGTTATCTATGACAATTTTTCACAGCTGTTTCTCTATTTACGATTGATACTTTAAAGAGGCTAGTGTCTCGTAGATAAAGCTTAGTCACATATATGCATGTATACGCTCATACATTCAGCGCCATCTACAAGATATAGACCCTTTCAAAGTATATATAGTAAATACCGCAATAGTGTCAAATTCTTATAGATGTCGCTGCTGTATCTAAGCTTAATTTGAATAATATTTTGGGGCGCACGAATATAGCACTAAGTTGGCCATCTTCGGATAGAATACTTTAATCAATGATGATGATTTTGTTGGATAACTAAATATACAATATTGTGTAATCTTTGCCAAATAGTATCTGCGATATCTTTAATCACTTTTATTTCTGGCTCTGGTGCGAAGTAACGGCAGTTGATTCCATGCAAACTGAGCTACCGCGTGCAAGTTTTACCTTATCCCAACTACTGATAACACATAAAAGCGCTCTATCGGTGGCAAGCGGCAACTGAGTTTCGTAAGTGGACAGAAGTTAATTGCAGCTGATTGTTAAGCATGGGCTTTCGAATTCTTCTGTTGACTGCGCCTGAAAAGAAATAAAGGTCAACCCATAGCGGATCGCCGAACCGACAGAGAAATGTCTCACTTCATGGCATCTAGACCATAAGCGGTTTGAATATAGTTTGTTTTTCCGTCAGTTTGATAGTGTACTACCGTGAAAATGAAAGTCCAGCAAGAAACAAATGATGCTATTTGTCCTCATCGTTTTTTGGGTATGTGATTTATATACATGGTGTCCTGAATATTGAGACTTTTCATAAACACCTACAAGCGAAATAACAACGCTAGTGTGCGATAAAAAAACGGCAAAAACGTAAAGAAAATGTAAAAAGTACTCATTTACTTGATCAGGAACTTCAAATGCTGCCCTGTCACTGGTTTTGCTCGTAAATACTGCTCAAATTGTCGCCGTTCGATAAAAAAAAAAACAACTGTCCTAACTTCATCCCAAATCTGCAAGGTTTGGGGTATCTAGGTCTTTTGTGTATCAACAACGACTGCCTCAGTAGAATATTGAAATCGATAACATCGTTATTACTATAGGAAGCTGTCAATGTCCGTTTTTCATATCCAACTGTAAGCAAGCTAAAAAATCATACCTCGTGACGTAGGATGCTGGTTCGGGCTTGACGCATCTTCTTAACTCAGTATCTTGGTTACTTCAAGGCTTTGTTGTTACTTGGAAAACAAGCTTATTGTTGTCCGACTTACACGCTTTGTGAAAGAAAGTCCCAACCTTAAGGACACCATGTACGTACCTCGACTGGAAGAGCTTGAAAAAGTGTAGTGATACCGATTTCGTTTACCTTAGTAACAGATGACTAACCATGCGTAGCAACATTTCATGTTTAGTGGCAATCGTCAGCACTGTCTAGGTCTTTAGATAGGATAACGACCTAAAGCAGAGCAAAAGTAAACTCAATTAGAGGTGTATGAAAGCATTTGTGCTGTCGTATTTTCAAAAAGTGTAATCTGACAGATAATGCAACATTGTTGAGAATTAAGGAAGAAAAGCCAATTTTCCTTTTATGGCGATTAAGTTTTCCCAGTCGCATTACAACATGGCGGCAACGACTTGAACGGATCATTTCATGGTGAAACTGAGAGAGTGTGTTAAAGTTTTTGGAGCACTAGTGCCAAAAATTTCGGAAGCTAGGTTCCTGGAATCGTTGTATTATAATGTCACTAGAACGCGATTCTATGGTATTTCATTTCAATACATCTGTACAACACTGTATCTCAATGTTAACATAATCTCTCCTTCTAGCATTTGCCTTACTCTGAATCAACACCGCTTTTGTCAGTCGTTCCTTAGCGAATGAGGAAAGTGACAAAAAAGGCATTATTGGTTCGTCCGCTCTCTATGTATCTGTGATCTGTGCGACCAATTAGAAGAGACAGAACCAGATCGGAAAATCTCAGTTGACCAGGAAAGGCATGCTACGGCCGCCAGCTTTCTTTCGCTAATCCGAAGAATTTTTTCGAGAATGATTTGTATGGGAGGAATGACGAGCGATGTGTTCATTCCCTTCTGTTCTTGAATCGCACCAAGTGATGGATGTCCTCACGGAAATACGAACGTATGATCCAGATCACAGAGATATAGCACGGATCAAGCAGCAAATAGTTCTACTTTATCCTTTTAAAGGACCCTTTTCCCAACAAGCATTTTGTTAAAATGGGCTATTAATCAAGAAAAGTACCTATATTTGTCAAATTTTAGTCGTTATGTCCTTGAATGATGTTTTTAGAAGCTAAGTTGTGTGGCCAGTTAATGCCTTGTAAAAATTTGGTAACTACGTACCAA